ATCTTACATTAGCGTCCGCTAAATTTACCAATCATATGTTTTAGCTTCCTCCCCTAAGTAATTTATTAATTGTTGGGGACCACCAGCAAGGTTAAACTCATGATGAACTGACAAGTCGAGCTTATTAACCAATCCAAACATGCCAATAATGTACCTCCCCATCTCGATACTGTAGTTGACAGGATGGGGAAATCAGGATACATGCAGATTTCTCTCTATAAAAGGGATGAGGGGGAGGAAAGGAACGATATATGGACTTCCACTAAAAAATGCTCTTTCATATCATATTTCAAATATCTCCTTAAAGAAAAAGAGTAACACACATATAGTTATACTTGTAACTTACGCGTGGTTGTCAATAAAAGTTCTAATTTCCTTTTAAGTTGGCTTGAATCTTGTTCATGCAATTTTCAATGTCAACACAATTAATTTCAACTTTAGTTGAATAGCAAATTTTGTTAAATAATTTATGCTAAATTAACCAATTATTCTAGTGAGCAAATTATGAAACTTCTATAAATTTAGATTGGATGGTTACTAAGACCTAGAATCCCCCTTATTAATCAGTTTTAATATAAATTAATAACATGATAATATGTGCACATTCTCGTTGATAAATGTTCATAAGTTAATTAAATGCATATCTCAATGTCAATTAAATATATCTTCTCACGTGACCTTTCTATATCTTTATGAAACATGCGAACATAAAAGCATGCATTAAAAACATTAGAACATCTATAGATATCATTCAAAGTATAATGATATATCTCTATTCTCTATCGAACTTTATATTGATTGTTATAAAGTGCTATCTATCCTATTGTCACTTTCAATAATCAATAAAATTCACAATCAGTCCAACTGGTGATCAAATAATTGAAAAGTCATTAAATACAATAACAATTATCAGATAATAAACACATATTGGGTGTCAAATTATTGAATTTATATTAAAACATCATAATAAGGGTTCACCAATAACTTAGTAATTAAAACTCTACCCTAGCATTACAAAATCACAAGAAAACATTTTTAATTTGAAGAATATAACTCGGATTTTTAATAATTTGAGAAGATCAAAAAGAAACTTGACATATTAAATATCTTCAATGGTTTCTTGATGAATCTCCAATTGCATCTTCTCATCTTTGCCCAAAAATCAAGGTTTAATCTTCAATTTGATGAAATCTTGAAATTGTCTTTAATTTTCTCACATGATCAATGAATTTCCCTCATTAATTGACGTAATTGATGAATAATGGTGTATGAGAGGTATATCACAAGTTCCTTATATTGACTACACATGTTATGTATTTATAGATGTTAAATTAGGTCAAAAATCTTGCAAGAAAGTAGTTTCAATGTAGAATTTTGAAAGAAAAAAGGAAACATGCCGCATTTTCTAGACTACCCAGGCAAAACTCGTGCTCTAGCCTAGGCATATTTTTCAACCACTGTTTTTTCTTAAACGTGCAATCCCCCGGCTTTATAAATGGGCAATCGTCCAATTATACAAGCTTCCAAACTCAGCATTTTGGACCCTGAATTCGATTTTTGATCCTTTTAAGTCATTTTTTCTTGCAATTTCAATCATTTAACTTCTAATTGCATCCAATTGAACACCTAACATCTTCAATCTTCATTCTGTTGTCCGAATCAACTATTAGAATGTTTCAATTTAGTTCTCATACTTTTAATTTCACCTTTTTCGCCAATCTTTCAATTCCTCTTCCATTCATCGAGTTTCACCTAATAAACAAAATATACAATGAATGAGACCATAATTGATCAAAAGAACTTTAAAATATCCATATTCAAAGACCCGAATAAGTGTAAAATACACTTATCAGTTTTCTATG